GGGGGCCAAAAAACCCCCGAAACAAAACAAAATAACCCCGTCAATATCAAGCACTGAAATAATGCGCCAATGTGGAGACCAAGCACTAATTCGTGGCGTAACTTATTTTCAAACATCTCCTAAACTATTGAACATAAACTCTCCAGTTTTTGCACTGTGACTAGTGACTTGTATCAATTTGTCTTACCCAGATCAATATTATTATAAAGCATTAGCTGTATTCTAGGAAACACTAATAAAAAATCCTATAGTGCGGTCAAAAATTCGTGGTGCAACTTATAGCCAAATATCTCCTCAACTATCAAACATGAACTCTCAAGATTTTGCACTGTGACTTGCATCAAATTGTTTTAACAAGTAATATTTTTTAAAATACCTTTTATTTTTATTCTAGAAAATTCCTTAATAAATACTGATAAAAAAATCCAAGTAGAATCTAATTGGTTTCTACATACATGTATAATGAAGGGTTTACAGCTGGGACAATATCACTTTTAAAAGCAAGTCGGTCATATTTTTTAAATCGCGACATTATGCTTATTGAACACATGTTTTGATAACTTTTAGTGCATAAAAGTGTTCACTATAAAATTAATTTCTTGTAATTGTAACTAAGTTTGCCGAAAAAAAATGTCATCGGTGAGCTGTGACGTAGGTCAAATGTATATGCAAAATGTGTGTGAGAAGCGGGAGGTGCTGTGAATAATTCCTTTTTTCGCGTGATGGAGACTTGTAGTATTTTTATAAATTTATGAAGAAATGTTTTTAAATCTAGCCTCAATTGTGGTGGAAAAATATGATTAAGTTAAGACAAAGTGATACAAACTGCTGTGCCAATTATGGGTGACATTGATTCACCCGTTAAAGATATTTTTATTTGAGGATAAGTCGCGCCACGAATTTTTGAAAGCACTGTGGGTGGTTTCTACTAATTTTAAAGGATTACAAAAGGGAGGTTGTAAGAGATGACGATAAATTTTTGTTAAAAATTGCTTTTATTTATTAAAACATAAACTCATCTCGTCATAATAAGAAAGTGTTTCCCTGAAGGAGGAAAACAAATCTATTGACAAATGAATTCAGTAAACAGGGATATACAAGGACAGCACAAAATGTAACAAGAACACATAAATCACTTATCAGCATTGGATGTATTTGTGTTCATACCAAGGGCATGGTCCTGAGATGATGCTTTATAAACACTTGTGAACAGATACATGGAATGTTAGTAAAATATTTGGGCTCAGAAACACTCCGTACATGAAAGCTTATCCGTCTAGGTAACAGGTTAATTCAACTAGAGGGAGGGCAAGAGATCAATTCAAATAGGTATGTGAAATAAAGCAATTTATGTGAAAGGTTTCAGTTTTACAGAGAAGTAAGCAACAATAATTTTATTAGGAACATTAGTGTGTACAGAATAGTTACATATTTAATTTTGATTGTTGCCAGTAATGATATCTTTGCCTATATATTTACATCAGACAAGACTTGCAACTGCGAAGCTGGAAGCTTTGTGGTGTGACAATATTGTGCAAAAGATAAAATAAAAAAACAAATAACAAAAATTTTCCTGCAGTATTCAAACATATAAATATATATTTGCAGATTGTTTAGTCAATTTTAACGAATCGTGATCCCAGAATAATGTTTTAACTCGACAATTTTAGTGCTTGGAGTACAAATTTGAAACACTTCTGAGAAAAGAGAGACCAGTTCTGGATTTGCTATTGACATAAACTATTTAACAATTTTAGTAAGAAAATACTTCATTCAATCAGGTTTGAGCAAGATAACGTCAGCACTCAGAGTGATTCAAATCATTCAATGGCAACAAACTCAAACTAATGAATGATGCAAACATTGATGAATTCAGCAAGAACAACAATATCTTTTTACCTAAATAGAGGGAAAGTTTATTGGAAAAGCCAAAAAAGTTAAATTAATAGTATGCTGTATTTTTGAAGTCTTTTTAAAAAGCAGGCATTCCAAATAAAGACGATAACGGAAACACATTTGGCACAATTCTGAGTCATTTTGGAGTACAGGTAACAGTCTTTTCCAAAGACTTTTGTGTACCTACTTCACCACTCAGCAATCATTCTAACTAATGAAAACACCAAACTTCAACCTAATACAGCATTTCCAAACAGAAAGGAAAGAAACAGGCAAGAAAAAAATGATATCGTCAACTATTGCTCGGTAGGTTTCATAATAAGTCACTGATTTGACACCACATTCCCACCAGCACATCCTTGCGATAGGACTAAAAAAAGGCAAGCAGCAGCAAACTGAGAAAAAAAATGCTCAGAACTTATTGTAGCTTCCTTATATATTATATGAATGAAAGTATACAACATATACATGTATATATAACTTTTCATAAGATTGCATAGAGAAATTTTACTTGAAAGTAGTGAGACAGGCAAAACTAAAACTGGCCATTCATACAATCTCTTTGGCTTTTGAACATTTCCACAAGACAAAACATAAAACTCAAAATTTCCAGTGATGAATCCCGCACTACTATGAGTATTTCCAAATACATGAACTACAAGAAAGGTCAGCAGTGTCCACAAAGAATAACTAATCACCTGAAAGCATTTTGTTGTTCCTAAAATATAGTTCAATCTGGAGGTATATTTTGAGCATATATTTTGAAAATGTCTCTTTTCCACTTTCTGAATTTCCATATAACACAGGCACGAGCAAACTACAGCCCGCAGGCCAGATGCGGCCCATGGGCAGTTTCAGTCTGGCCCTCAAGTCAATCCAGTAATCAATCAAGAATGTAAAACGCTGTGAGATGATAATCAATAAAAACAAAACTGTCAGTTTCCGTCTTGAAAACTGAAATCGCTTGTTCCCACCAGCCCAGCTGGAAGCAATAGATTTAATCTTTTATTTCATGACATGGCCTTAGTGACAGTTCATGCTATAGCATCAGTTTTAGTCTCATTTTTGAGAGCTTGGGCATTTCACTGCTCTCACCCAATTCCTCCTGCGTTAGCCCGAGAAATATTCAGAATTGCTTAATCCAGCCAGCGACTCTTAGATGTTTGCCCATGCCTGATTCAAACATTTTATGCCAGAGCACAGCAAACAGACATGACAAATTACATTATCAACAGAAATTTCCGGCCCTTATACTGAGAGTTTTCCATAGGGGCTCACAACACAAGTAATTTCAAAATAAAAATCTGCAAAAACTTGTTTCTATGCTCAGACATACACATTATTATCCAACGTATAAAAAGAAACGTTCAAATCAGCTTGTGCACCTTTGTCACTGACATAAATTGCTGGATCGCTATTTGAGTCAACTCCAAAATTTGACACATAGCTCTTAGTGTTGGCTCGGGTAATGATCCCTGAGGACCTCCCCAGGGAGGAATTGGCGAAGTAACTTTCCGCATCCGTCTCACTAGGGGATGCTTTGTACCTCGGCTTTGTTCTTAATCTGGAAAGAAAAGAATTTTCAAGCTGAAGTCTGATATTTCATTATATTAATAACAAATAACAATAAGGATTAGTGGTAGCAACAAGAATTTCTCTTCATATTGAATTTTAATGAGAGTTATATACAATTTATTTTCTGTGTACCAAAATATGTTTTGTTTTTACGATCCTGTGCAGCCAAGAAATTTTTGCATTTCCCTCTGGGACAACAAACTATTATCTTATCTTATCTTATCTTATTTTATCTTATCTCATCTTATCTCATCTTATCTTATCTTATCTTATCTTATCTTATCTTAGGGGAAAAAATAATAGCATTTTGTATCTTCTACATCTATATAAAAAACAAACATACCACAGGATGATGAAGTGAAAGGTCTAGCAAAAAGAAGTATTATTTGAGGATTTAACTTTACAAAAATGGAAACCTTTAATAAAAGTCCAAGAGAAAAAAAAGTTTAATGAACAAGATTAATAGTGAGATGGATGGCAGGGATAAAAGATTAATTTCAAATCATAATCAAGCCGTCAGGAATATAAATGCCATGAGGAAAACAGTATCATCAATAGCAATTATGGAAGAAGCAATGAGTCAAGAACCAATTGAGTGTTTGCTGGAATTATTAACATCATTCAAATGTTCAGTATCTTTTAACATGAATTAAGCCACTCCATTCTACAAATATATATATATATATATATAATTAAAAAAATAATCTAAAGGTATCTCAAAATGACGTTACAAAAAGTAGTATATGTGAGACATGCTGACAAAATGAGGTGCTTCTCACAATCCACAAATGGAGATATTTAGCAAAAAATTGATACTTTGATCAAATTTGAAAATTTTCTACTGAAGCCATATTCTTTATGTATAATTTCATACTAATAAATTGTAAAATCTTTACCTATAAGTGTGATGTATCTATAGGGCTCAAAATAGAAATAACTCATTTTGTCCACACGCCTCACATATGTCTCTTACTAACTGAATCAGCCAACTTATATATTCGGTAAACTCTTCTCCGTTTAATTTGAATTGTTTGCAAAGTGTGGACTCCTTTTTAAATTCCAACTTTGCTGGGTACAAAGAATATAAACAGGATACTGTAGGAAGTGAATAATCTACAAACCTTCTGATAATGAAAATCAGTAGAAGTATGAGGAGCAAGAGAAAGCCGACTGATCCCACAGTGGAAGCAACAATGGTAATGGTCTCATCATCGGACACCAACTCAGCCGCTGAAGGACACAAAGAGAAAAAAAAAATCAGTATATCATCATCATCATCATCATCATCATCATCATTGCCTTTCTTACCCTGGGTCAGGGGGGGTATAGGCTACAAACAAACACAACTCAGACGCTGAAGAGCACAAAGAGAGAAAAAAAAAGAATCATCATCATTGCCTTTCTCACCCTAGGTCAGGGGGTATAGGCCACAAACAAACACTTTCCACCTTTCCGTAACCTTGGCTAGCCTCTGGATGTAATTCCATGTCTTCCCTCTTTCCTGTACATCCATTTCTGTGACTCTTCTCCAGGTTCCACATGGTCTTCCCCTTTATTTTCTAATCAGTATATAAGTGTTATATAATTACATGTGAGGTATTGTTGTGAAATCAGGCTCTAGTGAAAATCATGAAATCGAAGAAACTAGCATTTTTCTGCCAGTATGGCAATCTTTATTGAATTTCTGTTAGTTGGCTTAAAATTCTGTGCAGATTTCTACAGAAAAATGTTGTTTAAAGACCCCAACATTTTCAATTTTTAAGGAATCTCAAGCTTTGAAGGTCATCAAACTTTGAAGGCCATTTTTTTGCTAATTTTGCCACTGGAATTAGGCAACATCCACCCCCTTCAATTGCAAATGTACTTATAACTTCTATTTAAGATAGACGGGTTTTTTTTCATCGAAAGCAAGACAAATGTACAAGCTTTAAGGTCATATCAATATCTCTATGTGCCTAAAAATAGACGAGTGCCTGATTCCACTGCGACGTGACACATATTATAGTTATCTCCACCTAAGAGCCTTTTCATGGAGAGACATGAAAAAAAATAACAGGTTCTTAGGCAGACCGAGTTGTAAGGCAGATTTCAAGGGGCACAACTCAGCTCATACCTATAGGCACCTGTGTTTATTCTATGATGAAATGCTGACCTGCAGACCATACTGACAACCGAGGGAAGATAAAAAATGTGCTTATTCTTTTTTAAAATGAAAAATGTGTGAGTGCGTGTTTGAGTAGCGTGCATTGTTTTAGTTGTCCATGTAGAACCAGGACAGAAATTTTATGGAATATCTTGATTTTTCTGCTAGCACCTTGTATCCCTCTCAGCCCAGGTTGTTCCTGACAAGCCTGCCTCCTAAATAATCTAAACTTTTTTGCTGGGGGTGTAAATAACCTTACATTAAAAAATGAAATTAAAAATCAAAAAGAAAAATCAGATCAACATACGTTTCCTAATATCACAACGGATCCCAGTGTAAACCTCCGTACAAGAGCACACAACAGAGCTATCCTTGGAGCATGTTGCGCCATTCAAGCAGTACGGATCAGGCAAGTCACAGAAATCTGTTGTGTAAAGTGAGAGAAAGGGCAAAATATTCAGTAACAATATATGAATAATTCAACACTTTGCACACCGGGCACCAGTTCGGTTAGCACACTCGTGTTACTCATTGTTTACAGTTATTAAAAAAACAATAACTACGTAACACCAGCAAATCCATTACTTCTGTAATCAACACAGTATCTTAAAATTATAGCATTCGACATTCATTTCTACCCAGTAATTGGTGTTTCTTGTATTCAAATTTGATAAACAGGAGAGAAGTTATAGGGAAGAAAGTGATGCTGAGAAATAGGATTGCAAATGTGGAATAACATTCCTTAAACTAAGCATAAACCCATTGACAACACACCCATTCTGGTCATTCAACAACACTTCACTACCTCAGAATTACATAGTTTTGAGTTACTAAGATCACGACGTCTCTATCAAAATCGTAAGAATATTAGGTGTTGTTATCAAGATATTCAAAGAATTGCATATGAAAAAGCTTGACATATCATGAAATTAAATAATGTTGACTTCAAATTTCTCAAAACTAAGTATTGAGCATATAGAACTTTATAATTCTGAGGTTGCTACTAGAAGCAGCACTGTTTTGAAACATCTAAAGAAAAAAAAAAAAGAAGCATAACTTTCTTATTCATATATACAGATTTTAAAAATTCTGTTTTCCTTATCTCAAACCAAAGAAGACAGACAATAACATGCATACTACAAAATAATCAAATTTCAATTTATGATTTATGAATGTTGGATCTAAATATGTATATTGCATTCTCAATAGGCTGTAGCAAGCACACAAACAAAACAACCTCTCTGAGCTTTCTGTGTAGAGACTTACGTGTACACACTACCCCGTCACCCTGGTAGCGAGACTTGCAGGTACAAGTAGTTCCTCCCGTGTCAGTGTCTTCACAGTCGGCATTTGCAGAGCAAGAGTGGCTTCCAGCAGCGCACTTAGCTATAAATGAAAGAATAACACACAAAAATACAATACACATTGAATGAAATATTGGGAGCATCATTCTACATTTGTTTAAGTCAGTTTCTGTGGGTATCTACATAAAGCTGTTAATCAAACTAAGACATCAAAGGGGATCTTACAATATTGTTTCATTCTGTGTCATTAATTCCTCCTTATTTATGACTAAGCAGTAACAAGTGCCAAAGTCATGGTTCTGCTTTGGGTGCTCTCTTTATCTTTAATTTTCTCAAAAGTTAAAAATAAAAGGGTATAAGCGCTTGTGGAATGACTCGGACGGTACATATTATAAATAAGGCCTATGTATACCCAAAACTAAGATGTTTACTATCTTCATTCTTTACACATCCAAAGGCTAGTTAACATAAAATAAACTTTCCATAAAGACTATATTTGTACAAAATGTAGGGTTCACAGTGCAATCTTTCTTCTATCAGAAGATCATATAATTTGAGTATAGTTTCAGGTTGTGTGTGATTACAAATTTGATGACCTGAAATTTCTCAAGCACTAGCAAAACCATAGGTAACACTACTTTACGGAACATGAACTTAAATTATATATTGGTGAATTTTAATTTATGCACAAAATTCCACCACATGGAAGGAAGCTCTCAAGCCTACTTATTATAGCTGAAAAAAGTAGCCAAAACACAAAAAGAATAGAAATGTTGCATTATATAATATCTGCATACTTAGGCACTGTGAGCTGGCTGTGGACCCAACTTGTATGGTGACTTGGAATTGTGGGCAGTTCTCACAGCTAGAGCTGCCCGCCGTCGACTGGTACGTTCCCAATGGGCAATCCTCACACACAGATAAAGTTGAGTTCCAGAAGCGACCCGCAGAGCATGAGGCTGGAGATACAACAACAACATTCATAGGATTTTTGGGAAGGTTCAGGAAAAGCTATGTGAAAATAGAACATGTCAGTACCAACACACACCTGCTATTATACAGTGGCGTCCAAAAAAACCTTTAAAATTCAATCGTCATGTTAAAACCTTGGGTAGTCCAATGATTTTCTGAGATGACTGGATGAACACATTTTCAAGTGTTTTTTTGAACGACACTGTAAAAGAGGATTTCACTGAAAATCATACACAAAATTATGCTTGGAATTTCTACTGAAATATGGAAGTAAAGCAAACTCTTTAAGCTAGATAGATACTATATTATTTCAATACTCACAAATGCTACAATCATCAGAAGAGGTTGCCTGTGCTGTTGCGGTGGTGAAATCCGTTGGACATTCCTGACAATTCCAAGAGGATGAAGCATCCCTGTAGAAGCCCAGGCCACAGTCCTCACACTGATTGGTAGCCTCATTTACCTGCTGACCTGATGGGCAAATGCCTGAAAGGAACAGATTCAAACCTAAGAGTGTGAATAATTCTCTAGAAATCAAAGACAAAGAATAGAAATGTTTTGCCATGGAAACTTGGTAAAGGAAAGTGAGATTTTTCAGAACTGATGAAGAACTACAAGAATCATAAGCAACAATTTGTAGTGACGCTTTTGAGATTATTGTTATGAGAGAAGATACGGTCCTAAAGTTTTCTGGAATCAAACTGTATGTGTAACTTTATACAACAGTCGATAGATTTGGTTTAAAAAGCAAAACCTTAAGCCAATACTCGTTCAAAAAATGAAACAGCAATACAAAATCCAGAGGGGTGTAAAATTGAAACATGCAAAGCATTCTCTACAGCAATGAGAAAGTCAACTCACGATAACATTCGTCTTCCGTCTCTCTCCTAGTGCTCTTAGTTGTGAAGCCAGTCTGACATGAGGTACATTCATCCTGCCACTTCTCGCTGTTGTAAGAGCCAAGCGGGCAATCCACACACTCATTTGTGGCAGCATTGCGGAATTGGCCAGGACTAGTACAGTTGCCTGAGATAACAGAGACCAAGAAACATTCAGTCAATCAGCCATATGTTGTCAACAGGAAAAACTGGTTGTTTTAGATGGGTGGTCATCTTGGACAATGTCATTTTAGTATTGAAAAAATGCAAAGAGGGAAGTAGGAACTGGTTGTTTGTACAGGTGATTGTCTTGGACAAGTGGCTGTTAGAGCAGGTTCCACAGACCGGTACGTGGAGCAATGACACTATCCTCAATTCACAAAAAGTGTAATAATGTGTCAAAACATGCATTCCAGGTAGTTTTCATCTAATAACAATCATGTTTTCAGCAACTGTGATCGTTAACTGAATTTCCATTTAAATTTAGATGAAAGAAGAAAAAAGGAGACAAGTTTTAAGCACGTCTGGGACAATTAGACTAATAATTACAGTAGTTTCAAAAATTAATTCCTGCAGGATTGAGAACAACATTACAACAGTAAAGAGTTGAGGAATACTTACGGACATTGCAGTCAGAAGCCTCGTCACTCCCTGTGGTAGCAGTAATGAATTCTACAGCACAAACAACACAAGCTGTTTGGGACGGCGAGCTCTTGTCACGGAAATACCCCTGAGGGCAAGGGACACACTCGTCTAAAGTGGGAGACAGCTCCTTTCCCACTTCACAGTCCACTGAGAAAGAAAGAAGAACATTCAAGACAATCATTAATCACTTTCATTTTATATTTTACACAGCCATCAACAATACTGGGTGATCATTTAGCTGGCCAAAAACGTACTCTTATTGTTGAAGAAATAAAACTGTTTACTATGAAAGAGATAAAGTACAGTTTATTATAAACAATGAAAATGAGAAAGAATTCTGTTGATTATCAAAGAGACAAAATACTGTTTATCATCAATGAGATAAAATACTGTTTTTAAAAAAATAGCACAAAAAAATGTCCACTTTTCTTATCCATGGGGGAGGGGGGGGGAATTAAAGTTAGAATGGTATGTATCCATCATCCACCCATCCACCCTTCCATCCATCCATCCATCCATCCATCCATCCATCCATCCATCCATCCATCCATCCATCCATCCATCCATCCATCCATCCATCCATCCATTCATCCATCAATCCATCCATCCATCCTTCCATCCATCCATTCATCCATCCATCAATAATGCATGCATGTCGCCACACACACACACACATGCATGCACGCATGCACACACATACACACATATATTTAAGCATACATATATACACACAAAGTATATTTTTCAGTCAAAGTTACCAAACGCACAATATCACCCCAAACTAGACAATTTTACAAACATACCATTGCTGATTGCAACTATGCAGCGTCCATTTTAAAAGTCTTTACTTAGGGTTTATCACCGAATAGATAAAAATACTATTCTATTGTCCAAGGGATAAAATACTGTCTACCATTTGAGAGATACTTTACTTTACTTTTCAGATCCGGCAGGCATCTGAATTTAAGCCCTTAGGCCTGTCGATATGGCAAAGAATTTACAGGTTTTTATCAGCTGCTTTTTGCCGCTGTATGGAATATTTCCGACATCTGGGGAGGCTGGTAGACAGACACTATGCAGGTCACTACGAGCTGGGTTGGTTAAGAGGTGGTGTGACACTGTTACACCCTGGCAGTTCATTTGAAAAATAAAATACTGTACTACTCACAGACACACTGAGAAGAGAGCCGAGCCCCAGTTTGCAGGGTGGTGGTCCCAGTTGCGCAGTCTATACATTTATCCTGCCGCTCTGCTGGCTGGAACTGACCGTAAGGACAGGGCTGGCACGTGGACCTGGTGTCTCTGTAGGTGCCGGGCTGGCAGTCACCTGACAAAGTTTGTTTGTTTGTTTGTTCAAGTAAAGAGAAGCACACTTATTTAGTGCAGGGAAAGAGAAAAGATGAGATGAGATGAGATGAGATGAGATGAGGTGAGATGAGAAGAGATGAGGTGAGGTGAGGTGAGGTGAAGTGAGATAGGGTAGGGTAGGGTAGGGTAACGTAAGGTAAGGAAAGGTAAGATAAGGTAAGTAAGGAAAGATAAGATAATAATTACATAAGAATTCAGAAAAACACAGCCAAGTGCATTTGTAAAGAGAGCGAGTGCCAATTATAATTTTTTTTAGTCTAAAAGACTGAAAAGTTGTACAGTGACAAAAAAGAAGAGCCTGCCCTTGACAGAAAGAAGAAAGAATGACAGCATAGGAATAACAAAAAAAGGTAGGTAAGAAAAACCCATCATACACATAAAAAAAAACCCACCCTCCCCTCAATCCTTTTTTGATTTATATGGAAACTTGAACACAATATCCCTTCAAACACAATACATTGAGCAAGCAGTACATATTGAACATTTCTCTCTCTATGCTCCCTTCTAATTCTTCGACTCATATAAAAACAGGGAAGCAATTAAGACAATGAGTTAATCTTTTTTTAACTTAATTAAGTAAAAGGCGTTTTGTAGCTACATGTATAGCAGTAACTTTGTTAACAAGTATTGTTTATTTCTCTGTGGTTGTGAAACCTGTAAGATGATCTTAATTGTGTCGATGGGGGGTGAAAATACCAAATACCAATATAATTTTTTTTAACTTGTAAGTATGGCAGGTCCTCAGTATATTATATACCGGTATATATAGAGAGAAAGACATATATATATATATATATATATAAAAATATATACAGGCCTATAGATATTATATATATATATATATTTTGTTTCGTTTTTGTTGTTGTTGTTGTTGTTGTTTTCTTTTGTATTCTTTTTTTTAAAAGAATATTGTTATATATATATACCAATATGTATATATATATATATATATATATATATATATATATGTGTGTGTGTGTGTAAATTTGCATGTGTACGCATATCAACAGCTCAGTGTAAGACTCGATCATACATACATCATACCTACAGCAGAGTCTTATACTAGGCAGTAGATATGAATTATTATGCACCTTTAAAATTACAGAAATGACAAAAGTCTCTGTCATGTTACAAATTTCGAACACCAAAGTACTAATGAATGAGAACAGAAGCTATAGTTGAAAGTCTGCTTCTTTCAATACCACTTAATAATAATAATATAAAACATTTGTATAGCTCAAATTCCCCACTCAACAGCAAGCTCTATACACTTTACAACCTATATTATTACCCTAGCAGACCTGAAAGCATTCTGAAACTATCTCAACTTCCTTGGATGCATACAGTGCAAGCTGCCACTTATACGTGCTAAAACACTAACATACTGACAAGATCTTTCACTGTCTATGGCTGAATACCCATTCCCACCTGGGTGAAGTCAAGAAAGTTTGTGTAAAATGCCCTTCACAATGACCCAACATCGGGCCTGAGACTCAAATCCCTGAACTTGCAACCTCACTATTGCGAGTCCGGTAGCCTAACCACTGGACTATTGACACCCCTGTCCACAGAAAGCCTAAACTCATAGAAAAAAACTTACTGAGCTCACAGTCTGTCGAACTTGTTGACCCTGTGGAGTTGGTGATGAACCCATCTGGACATTTCTCACAACTGCCAGTGCCGACTGTAATCTTGAAGTAGCCGATAGGGCACTCCCTGCACGCACCATTAATGTCTTCCTTCCCAACAGGACAATTCACTGGTAGAACAAGAGAAGCAGCAATTATGTGTAAAGGTGAAGTGCCAAATTCTATTTGTCAATTTAATGATTTTTGAGCCTAAACTCTGGCATAGAATAGTCCTTCTCTCTAGCAAACGGATCCATGAACAGCTGTAAAATGTGGGGGGGGGGGGGGGGATTCAAATGTAGTCTGTCAAGAATTTTAGAAGCCACAAATCTCAGGTAGGCTACATGTAGGTCTATATCTTAAAAAAACGAGAAACAAACTTTGCTTAAACAACAGTAGATTAGAAAAAAATGATCTTATTTTTTTTTTAGGTTTTCATTGATAAAAATGTATGACCTGTTACCATGCTTTAAGACTACAGTCATGGAAATATGAAAGGAATCTGATCAGTCTTGTTTCTACAGCAGTTTACTACCATTTCAATATCTCTTTTACTTTTAAAAAGCTGAACAGAGAAAACATCAACACTATATAAAAAAAGTAATGAAAAACAACTGCAGCTGAGCTATAGTCTATAATGAGCTCTCACAATAAATACCTCATTAGGTTGCACAAGGAACAGATAAGGACGAGAAAAGCTATTTTTCTGTTATTACAGAAGATAGTGTTTGTGCACTGCTGGTCTTCATATGTGAGAATGGTGTTGTGGACAACCGTGTGAAAGGGAATGACAAAAAAGTCGGTCACTGCAAGAAAAAGGAAAGAATCAATGATCAGCTCTTTATTGAGTCATCTTGTATCTCTTTAAGCGGTTGACTATGTGCCCATACTGTTATGTTTTTCTATTGTTATATCTTTCATGTTGAGCTGGTCTTCCCTTTACATTTCCACTGTCTGTGACCTTATACTACCTTTTCCTGGGTGTAAAGTTGATCTCTTATAAAGTCACATCTTAAGATCCTGACTTTTGTTATTTGAAGTAGTTTATCTGTATTCTCCCATCTTTCATGTGAGGAAGGGATCCTTGCTGCAGGAGTTTGTCATGTACTAGTAGTGAATATATCATGGAATCATTTGCCTATCATTATCTCTGTGTTAGTAATCTATCTTAGAAAAGAAAAAAAGCAACCATGAAAAAACGTTTTTAAAAAAGCACGCCTCACCATGACTTTGACAACCACTCTCTAGACAAAAACGCAGTTGGATCAACAGTTGAAAACAAAAAAACAAAAACAGTAGCAATAACACAACTCAAGACGCCACTGGATTAACAACAATAAAAAAAACAAAAAAAGCAGCAACAGCAATAACAACAACACAAATCAAGAGGCCACAGGATTAACAGCAAATACAAAAACAAAAAAAAACAGCCACCACAAAAAAACAAACAAACAAAACCAACAGCAGCAACCAGCAAGACTTACAAAAGCAGTCGCTTTCACTGACAGCTCCCAGCTGTGGAGTGGTTGTGTCCACAGGACAGCCGAGGCAACTGGTCTGCCACTTCTCCGGCTGGTATTCCGCCAGGCCACACAACTGACACGTGTTACTCCCGGTAGGCAGGAAGGAACCAGCACTGCAATTAGCTGTTGTAATAAACCAAAAGCAAAATTAAAATACAAATTCCACTTTTAATACTTTTATTGATCCTTGCGGAGCAAATTTATTTTACAATAGCATACCATATATTACCATGTGCATAAAATACGGTACTTAGACGTATAAATGTGAGGTGTGCTGATAGAATGAATGACTTCTCGCAATCCATAAAAGGAAATGTCGGTAAAAAATCAACACAAGGGTCAAATTTCCATATACATTTTTATTTGAGTTTACTTTCTCATTTATCATTTCATTATAATAGCTACTACAAACTCAACCTCTTTATTTGACATTTCTATTTTCATAGAGGGCTAAAATCTGAGAAGTAAATTCATTTTGTCAGCACACCTCACAAATACATAGATGCATACGTAAGGAAACTTATAGACAAACAAAACACCATTGCTGATTACCACTGTGCAGTGCCCTGAAGATTGATAACTTGGGGGAAATAGTCATACCACATCACAGTGACAGCCTTCACGGTCCAGCTTCAACCATTTCAAAGCCTAAGACAAATATCAGGTCCAACAACATACAGCGAGTGTCAACAAAACTGCAAGATCAGCTCCAGAATAATCTTCAACTCTTTAAAATCCCCAACAAAGTTTGATACTAACATTTATGATGCAAATGGAAAGATCAAGAGTTGGAAAAGTCCCCTCCCCCCTAAAAAAAAGAGAATGAATAAAAGTCAAACAAAACAATGAAAAAAAACAAAAACCCACCCCTCACACACAAAACAACAATAACAAAACAAAACAAAAAAACAAAAAACAAAAAAGATGATTTCAATGTCAGTGGAGTCCTCTTAATCCCAAATCTGGATTTACGTTGGTTTTGATATATTTTCTGTTCAGAGAGATTTCTCAAATAGCAAAAGCAAAAAAATCAGGGATTCCATTTTCTTCCCGTTTAACGCTGTTTTTGGATTAATCGCATTCAGTTTAAGCAAACTCCACTATAATTGCAACAGCAAAAAATCTCCCACTCTTGTTAATAAAAATAAACAACATTTGCATAGCGCAAATTCCCGCCAAACAGCAAGCTTTATTTATGTGCTTTACAATCTATGTTATGTCCAATATTCTTACCAACATTACATCCTGCTACTGAGGTAGTTGCACTACCAGCTGTGATAAAGTCGCTGTTGGGACAGATGGTGCACTGACCAAACCTGTCCACGGAGTTGTCCTTGTAGTAGCCCCGAGAACATTCCACGCACTGACCACTCACACTCTCAAAGCCAGAGTCACAGTATGCTGGGGATTTAGGATAATAGTAACAATAATAATA